TTTTTGACAAAGAAGCTAAAATTATACAATGGAAAAAGAAAGCATTTTCAACAAATGGTGCTGGCATAATTGGATGCCGGCATGTAAAAGACTGCATACACAAAACTTAAGTCCAAATGGATCAAAGACCTCAACATAAATCCAGCCACACTGAACCTCTTAGAAGAGAAAGTAGGAGGTACCTTTGAATGTATTGGTACAGGAGACTGCTTCCTGAACATGACACCAATAGCACAGACACTGAGATCAACAATTAATAAATGGGACCTCCGGAAACTGAGAAGCTTCTGTAAGGCAAAGGACACAGTCAACGAGACAAAATGGCAGCCCACAGAATGGGAAAAGTTATTCACCAACCCCACATCTGACAGAGGGCTGATTTCCAAAATATACAAAAAACTCAAGAAGCTAGTCACCAAAACACCAAATAATCCAGATCTAAATAGACAATTCTCAATAGAGGAATCTAAAATGGCTGAAAGACACATAAGAAAGTGTTCAACATCCTTAGCCATTAGGGAAATGCAAATCAAAACAACTCTGAGATACCATTTTACACCTGTCAGAATGGCTAAAATCAAAAACACCAAGGACAGTTTATGCTAGAGAGGATATGGAGAAAGGGGAACACTCCACTGCTGGTGGGAGTGCAAACTTGTACAGCCACTTTGAAAATCAGTATGGTGGTTCCTCAGCAAAATGGGAATCATTCTGCTGAGATCCAGCAATTCCACTCTTAGGCATATGCCCAAAAGATGTACATTCATTCAACAGGGACATCTGTTCAACTATGTTTATAGCAGCATTATTTGTAATAGCCAGAACCTGGAAGCAACCTAGATGCTCCTCAACTGAAGAATGGATGGAGAAAATGTGGTACATTTATACAATGGAGTACTTCTCAGTGGAAAAAAAACAATGGAATCTTGAAATTCTCAGGCAAATGGATGGCCCTAGAAGAAACCATCCTGAGTGAGGTAACCCAGTCACAAAAAGACAAACATGGTATGTACTTGCTCATATATGGATTTTAGACATAGAACAAAGGATTACCAGCCTACAATCCACACCAACAGAGAAGCTAGGAAACAAGGGGGACCCTAAGAGAGACATACATGGTCCCCCAGAGAAGGGGAAAGGGACAAGATCTCCTGAGTTAATTGGGAGTGTGGGTGTAGGGGAGAGGGAGTTAGGAGAAAGAGAAGGGGAGAAAAGGAGGGGAGAGGAGGACATGAGGGAGCAGCAAGAATGAGTTAGGGAAAGAATAGAGGACAGCAAGATAAGAAATACCATAATAGAGGGAGCCATTATAAGCTTAAAGAGAACAGGCACTAGGGAAACATCCAGAGATCCAAAGGATGACACCAACTGGCAATCTAAGCAATAGTGGAGAGGCTTCCTTAAATGCCCTTCCCTGATAATGAGATTGATGACTACCTTATATGCCATCCTAGAGCCTTCATCCAGTAGCTGATGGAAGCAGAAGAAGACACCCATAGCTAAACACTGAGCTAAACTCTGGAATCCAGTTGCAGAGAGGGAGAAGTGATGAGCAAAGGGGTCAAGACCAGGCTGGTGAAACCCACAAAAACAGCTGACCTGATCAAGGAGGAGCTCATGGACCCCAGACTGATAGCTGGGAGACCAGCATAGGACTGTTCCAGACCCGCTGAATGTGGATGTCAATTTGGAGGTCTGGTTAATTTATGAGGTCTCTGGCAGTGGATCAGTATTTATCCCAAGTACACAAATGGACTTTGGGAGCCCCCTCCTCATAGAGGGATACTCTCTCAGCCTAGACACATCGGGGAGGGTCTAGGCTCTGCTCCAAATGATATGACAGGCTGTTAAGATCCCCCCATAGAATGCCTCACCCTCCCAGAGTCATTATGTTTTCCCTACTATTAATACAGAAATGCACCTGTTACATGAAATATTCTATTAATCCACCCAAATGATCTCCATATAAGCACTTCTTCTATACTACTTCTTCCTTTATCCAGCTCATGTTCATGGAAAATATGCAGATTGCAAGATTTTTTGTCCATACTTATACAGGAAAAAAAATTAAACAATACATATTTCTTACAAAACACTGATGCTCAAGATTGTTTCCAAATGGGGCATCTCTATGTATCCACAACCTGATTTAGTTCCCATAAATAATATGAGCCATCTGACTCACTTGATCAAGAGAACTCAGTAAATATGAAGACATGGTGCTTACCTACTATACACAGTTATGTTGTGAAGAACTTTGATACCAGCTTGATGGAAATAGAGTCTTGAAAAGACTCAGCAGGAACCACTAGATGTGAGATGGAACACAGAATGAGGCAGCCTCAAAGCACTGATGACTCAAACCCCATTCATCACCGAAGGAAGGAAGATGCAGCACTTTCCCAGCTGAGACCGGTCGGGATATCAACCTATGTGAAAAAAAATTAAATTGTTCTTCACAGCAAAATTTTTGTTGATTTGTTATACAAGAAAGGCTGATTAGTTCAATTGTTTTAACATATAATGGGAAGTAGTTTCCAGGCATGACAACACAATAAAAAGTACTCTGTAACCAGATGCCTAAGGTTTGAAAACCAAAGTAAGAATAGCTGAAGTCACATGATTCAAATAAGCAGTGTCTGGCTACAAAGAGGGTATCTAAACAGCTTTTACACAGAGAAGCTGTTACTTGTGAGTGTAGATTCTGTAGTATTTGCAGGTATATAGGTTTAGAGCATAAGTTTTTTTATGTGATCTAATTTCTTCATTTTACAAAACTGAGACTGAATCCTATTCTTTTCATCCTTATGAATTTTGGATAACAGAATGCTAGTATTAACACTTCTATTTTTAACCTATAAGGTGACACCATGTACAAAACATATTGATGATAACAATGGTAGGAAGCTTAGGACAAGGTATTTGGAAAGTGTTTGAAAATTGGGCACTTTGTTCTGTGGCAAAGCATTTGCAAATCACACTCAGACACTGAATTTCAACACCAAAAATAGAAGCGCCCAAATCTAAGACATGTACATGGTGACTATAAATCAGTATTAGAAAATACACAAACATTGATTTTTGTTAACTGAATGTGGTAAACAGACATACATGAAGACAGTATACTCAGACATACAAAATTAATTAAGGAGTTCACACACTGAAAACCGTGATGGAAGAGAAAGGGAAAAGTAAACTTAGCGACCACTGATTCAGCCAGGTGTGACAGGGCACCCCTCCACACTAGATCGCAACTTCCAGATCCAATAACTATTTCCCAGGTCCTTGCCTATCTTTATCAACTAAACTGGTAGAAGAGAGTTAACCTCAGCCTCCTAAAGAGGATCAAGCTCCTGATTATCACCCATATATTGATACCTTCTAAGAAGGTGATAGCTTTGCCCAAAAATTGTTCTAAGCAATAGTATCAGTGATTGCTTAGGTCACACAAAGCTAAGAGTTTCACCTTCACTCTGCCTCTGCTCAAACAAATAGTTGTGAAGAGAAGGCCATTAATAGTAGATCTTTCCTGCCGTGGAGCAGGTCCCCATTGGAGAATTTTCACAGGACTGAGATTGTTTGCATGGCCATTACACAGCTGGAACTGCATTCACAGTATCTCTTGCTTAACTCCCTAGAGACTACACAGACACATATGGACTGATCTTCACACACCATGTATTACATGCCAGAGAAATGCACACAAAGAAGGGACAAGATCTCCTGAGAAATTGGGAGCATAGGGGGAGGGGAGAGGGAGATAGGAGAATGAGATGGGGTGAAGAGGACAGGAGGGAGCAGGAAGGTTGAGTTGGGGGAAGAATAGAGGAAAACAAGAAAGGAGATACCATAATAAAGGGAGGCATTTTAGGTTTAAAGAGACATCAGGCACTAGGGATGTCTGGAAATCTACAAAGATGACACCAGCTAACAATCTAAGCAACAGAGGAGAAGCTACCTTAAATGCCCTTTCCTGGTAATGAGATTGATAACTGATTTATATGCCATCCTATAGCCTTCATCCAGTAGCTGATGGAGTAGAAGCAGACACCCACAACTAATCACTGAACTGAGCTGGAATCCAGTTGCAGAGAAGGAGTAGTGATGAGCAAGGGGGTCAAGACCAGGCTGGTGAAACCCACAGAAACAGCTGACCTTAACAACAGGGAGCTCTGGGTCCCCAGACTGATAGCTGGGAAACCAGCATGGGACTGATCCAGACCCCAGGAATGTGGGTGTCAGTGAGGAGACCTCGGAAATCCATGGGGCCTCCTGTAGTGGATCAGTACTTATTCCTAGCATGGGTGTGGACTTTGGGAGCCCATTCCACTTAGAGGGATACTCCCTGAGCCAAGACACACAGGGGTGGGCCAAGGCCCTATCCCAAAGGGTATGACAGACTCTGAAGACACCCTATGGAAGGCCTCACCCTCCTGGGGAGCAGAAAGGTTTTAGTTGGGGAGGTGGTAGGGGAGGAGGGGAGGGAGAGGAACTGGGATTGACATGTAAAACAATCTTGTTTCTAATTCAAATAAAAAATGAAAAAAAGGAAAGAAATGCATGATGGGGGAAGTACTTCTGTGTATGTTTATCTTATTGATTGTTAAATAAAATACTGTTTGGCCAATGAGACAGCAAGTTAGACGGGACTAGGAGTCAAAGAGGATTCTGGGAAATGTAGTAGAGAAGTGGTGATCCAGGCAGAAAGTGACATAGCAAGGAGACTCATATTTGAGCGAAGAGAAACAGGAAGGATCCTTTTTCCCCTCCGCTCTTGCTCTAGCGGCAGACTGTGATCCACCTGCAAGGGAGGACGCCAACAAGGCGTCCGATAAGATAAGTCTTATAAAATATATAGATTTATGGTAATTAAGTGAGCTAACAGATGAGAATCCTAGTCATTGGCCAAGCATCATTGTACCTAATACAAGTTTCTGTGTATTCATTTGGGCCCTAACTCAGGCGGGCGGCTGGCGTAAAGCTCACACGTGGTGTTGGGGCTCAGGCGGCTTTTGGCAGAAAGATTTATCGTAACAAATGCACACAAAGAATCTCCCTCTAACTGAACTAGTATATCCCCTGCCTCCAACCTCACCCACGGCTCATTAGCCTATGAGGCAGGTGGTACTATAGTTGCTGCCCAGCTTACAGCTCTATTGCATTATACTCAATAACACACTTCCTATTCTGGTCTAAAGGGCAAATTCATTCACAGCTCAGCAATGTTTCCTGAACAGGCCACCAACACAGGCCGAGCACTAAGGTAATGGGGAAGGAACTGGGTAGTCCAGATTGGCCACTGTACAGTTGTGAAACGTTAATGTGTCGTGATGTACTGGTACTTTCAATTATGCAATCTCTGCCATGAAAATGTGGGTAGCCGCTGTTAATCGAAGTGCAGTCTTAGTCAAAGGGGCCAGTCTCACAAGGCACTGCAGTTCTTTGGAGTTAGGTTGCAGCATTATAAGGCTTGGACCCAGCACTTCCTGGTCTCTTATTAACAGTCTGGTCCATACTGGTGGGATGGAATCCTCCATCCTTCAGAACTTGTGGCTCCCCCTCCCACTTTATTCCCAAGAAAATGTTCCTATTTCAATACTAGAATCTTCTGAAAGAACTTCTTGTCTCTGGTGACTAGTTATTTGCAAAAACGAAACAAAACCTTCTTAGTGCTGTGACCCTTTAATACAGTTCCTCACACTATGGTGACCCCCAACCATAAAATTATCTTCGTTGCTACTTCATAACTGTAAGTATTATGAATCGTAATGTAAATGTCTGATATAGGGGATGTCTAATATTCGACCCCTGTGAAAGGGTCGTTCGACCCATAGGTTGAGAACCACTAAGAGCTCAAACCTGAAGTGCCAAGCCGGCCACTGTCAAGCATTGGAGGCACAAAAAAACCTGAGTTCGTGAATAGACAGGAAATTTAACGAAGACAATCGCCAACACGCGACAGGGTCTACAGTCACTACGTGACAATTTCCCTAGGAATTTCGGGTCAATTCATTACGATACAAACATCCTCCTGTGGGTCACAGGCTCCAGCACTGTGTTGTCAACTTACACTTTCCCAGGCTCATGGTTTGGTATTTCTGGGTCATGCTGGTGAAAATTCCCGGGTCTGTAGTCTGGTCTTCAATCAATGGCCTTTCTCCAGGCCAACCCGGTTTCAAAATAAAATAAAAAGATGCAAACAGGTAACAGGATTCTTCAGTGGCAAGGGCTGGCAATATGAGCTCACACCGCAGGCTTCCCGACCCCGGAAATCTAAAGACACGCACCGCCCTCACCCCCAAGTCGCCAAGTTAGGCTCTCGCCTCCTTGGCCGAGCTTCCGTAACGGCCCTTTGCACAGTTGGGATCACACACCCGGACACCTCCTAGCGCAGTCTTCTGACACAGCAACCATGAAAGCACGGGCCAGGCCGTCTGTACGGACCGAGAATGGTGGGTCTCGCAGTCTCCTCCAGACCCGGTCTGTTCGCACTGCGTCTGCGTCCCACCACCAAGACCCACCTATGTTTCCGCTTCCACCGAGACTTGAAGGGGTTCGGGTCCCGCCTCCGAGGATCGCAAGGCCACTCTCTCTCTTCTTCGCACCCGCCTCCAGGAAACCCGCACCAAACTCTCAGCGGGAGGAACGGCTTCGGCACGACGCCAGGAGGCGACTTTCTAAGCCATATTTCCCAGGAGAGTGCTGGACAGAGGCTCCTGCAAGCCGACTGCCAGAGCTGTTTACCTGAGCCTGTGTGGGATGCGTAGATGTGAGGGACTACATTACCCATGAGCCTCTGAGTAACTATGGCAAGAATAAAAGGACATTTCCCCATCAGATCCACAATCGAATTACCCGAACTAGTGGATTTCACGGTTCAGAACAGGTAGCTACCTTATAAAAGCGATGTGAAATTCCTTCACCTTTCTCTCGTTCGAACCCCAGGTGTCCCAAAGCAGTATAGAACCTGAGAAGAAGAAGCTCCGCTATGTTCACTCTAGAAACAAATCAAATATCTCTGTGGGAGACACGGAGTCAGGTATGATAGCTGCTGTGAGGTAGTCACCAGGAAGACTGCTCTGACACAGGTTTAAACCAATAGAAAGTCTTTATTAGCCGGCTGCGACTACCCTGGGTATTTAGGATCCCAGTGAAGCCCCAAACTTTTTTCTGGGTGAGCTTTTAAGCACAATAACCACGCCCTGAGTTACTTCAGTT